ATCCTGCAGGATTGTTGCATAGGTACATACATGCCATGGTGGTTTGCTGTCTCCATCTGCCACCCCCTCTTTTTTTTTTTTAGAGGAGTCTTGCTCTGTCTCCCAGGCTGGAGTGCAGTGGTGCAATCCCGGCTCACTACAACATTGGCACCCCAAGTTCAAGAATTCTCCTGCCTCAGCCTCCGAGTAACTGGGATTATAGGCACCCACCACCACGCCTAATTTTGTATTTTTAGTAGTGACGGGGTTTCACTATGTTGTCCAGGCTAGTCTCAAACTCCTGACCTCAAGCAATCTACCCGCCTGGGCCTCCCAAATTGCTAGGATTACAGGCATGAGCCACCACGCCCAGCAGGAGCATGTAATGTTCTAGCAGAAAAAGTGCTTCAAGAAGGAAGGAGTGATCAACTACATCAAATAATATCAAAACTTTGACCCAACCATTGGATTTAGCTGTGGTGACTTCGGATCAGAGGAATTTTAATGAAGCAGTGGGAGGTGAAAGCCTGACTGGAGGGGTTCAAAGAAGAATGGAGGACCTGGAGTATAAATAGCCCTTTTGAGGAATTTTACCATAAAGAGGAACAGGGCAGTGGAATGTTAACTTAGAGGAGTAGTGAGAGTTAGACATAACATTGTAATGTGAGATAAATAACACAGTGGTCAAAAAAACAGGCTTACCTGGGCACGGAGGCTCACACCTGTAATCCCAGCACTTTGGGAGACTAAAGTAGGAGGATTGCTTGAGCCCAGGTGTTTGAGACCAGCCTGGCCCCATCGCTACAAAAAATTAGCCAGGTGTGGTGGCACATGCCTGCAGTTCCAGCTGTTTGGGAGGCTGAGGTGGGAGGATCACTGGAGCCTGGGAGGTTGAGGCTGCAGTGAGTTGTGATCGTGCCACCGCATTTCAACCTGGATGACAGAGTGACAACAACAGCAACACAAAAAACGCAGGCTCGCCTGCATATGGTCATTTTCCTTCCAAAAAGTACAAAACAGAAAGAGGGGGAAATATAGTAATTTTACAGGGCAGATAGCTGACAGATACCACCTCAGCCTGGCTAACATCAGCAGTGGTAACTCCTGTAAATAGTCCTGACCCTGGATACCGGTCAGTACTTTATGGTTTTCCATCCCCAAATCCATAACCTCAGTCTGATCATAAGAAAAACATCAGACAAATCCCAAGTGAGGAACAGTCTACAAAATAGCAGATAAGTACCAACTAGTATTCCTTAAAACTGTCAAAGTCATCAAAAACTAGAAAAATCTGAGAATCCATGACAGCCAAGAGGATACAATAACTAAATATAACGTGGTCTCCTGGATGGGATCTTGGAACACAGAAAGGACATCAGGTAAAAGCGAAGGAAGTCTGAATAAAGCATGGACTTTAGTTAATAATAATATGTCAGTATTGTAATGAACATAGCCCACGAATGCACGATGTTAATAATGGGAAACTGGGTGCGGAGTGTATGCGAAGAATGCAGAGTACCTAGGAATTCTTCCTACTATCTTCTAAACGTTTCTACAAATTTAAAACTGTTCTTAAAAAAGCCATATCTATCTAAAATTTAAAAAGAAAAGAGAAGACATAGACTACACAGTCTGATCATCTGGTTAGAATCTCAGTGTGCCATTTAGAGGACTGTGAGTCAAGGCAAGTTACTTAAATTCACTGAGAATCAGTTCTCCTATCTATAAAATGGAAATAGGAAGAGTGTCTACCTCATAGAATTGTTGTGATAAGCAAATGAGATAATCCATGTAAAATGCTTACCACTGTGTCTGGCCAATAGTAAGCCCTTGGTAGGACATAGCTTTATTATTATTACTACTAGTACTTTGATTCTTTATTGAATACACAAATGCACACTTAATGTGATTTTACATTTAATTTCTTTATGTAATTAGTAATAATTTATACAGTAATTTCTCTTTCCTTTCTTGAGAAGAAGAAAATTGAATACAGCCTATTATATATTATCTGCAAAAAGCATTTCTCAGTGCATCATAAGTGGTAAGAGGTTTTATGGTGTCAGCTGCTCTCAACAATTTAATTTAAGTACCAATCTGTGGTAATGCAATCAGATGAGTTGTCTCCAGAGGTTCTGTATGTACGTTATCATGTCTGTAAGGTAAATAACATTTTCCAATTTAAGATTTTGGGCTCTTGCTTTCACTAAAAGCCATAAAGTCATCAATGATAACCACAGAATACATTATCTTGTGATTACATTATTTTTAATAACAATATTTGACAAAAGTGATTTGCAGAATAATACATAGAATATGTTTAAAGATAAAAGTAATTAAATGAGGTAATGAAAGACTGTAGTAAAATATTTGTTATGTGAAGATGCTATTCAAAAACGTAATTTGACCTAAGAATCAGGTTGTGCATCAGACTCACTCCTGGGGCTTGACAAAAAATGAAAGATGCTAGACCCTCAACCCAGACTTACCGAATCAGCAGCTCTAGGAGTGGGACCTGAGCATCTGTGTATTTAAAAGACTACATAGGTGATTTGGGTTTGTGAATGATTGGCTTACCTTATCCTGCACACACTGATCATATCATATAGGTTGCTGTATGAGCTGCCTTTGTAAATACAGCCTGATATTCACCATCGTCAAGAATCATGATCGGCTCAAGAGAGCTTTACTTAGTACCATGACAGTTGTTTTCTATATTTAAACGTGGGCTCTCAGTTGTCCTGAGCATACAAGGGTCTGCCTCTTTGATTCAGTGCTCCATCACTCTCCTTCCCCTAGCAAAGGTCAAGTTTTCCCTACTTGCACCTCTTGCCCTCTTTCTCCCTTCACTGTGCCCATAGGAAAACTCAGCATGTTTAGCACACACAGTTGCCTCAACACCCTGAACTGGGCTAGCCTTGACTTCTTGCTGAGCCAACAACTGTGAAGCACACGGTCAGGGCCAGCTTAGTCCAGGTGGTCACTAGGCATGACCACCTGCACAATGAATTACAGCTGAAGTGTCATGGAGTAAACATTTTAAACCCTTTCCCTGTGAGAAAATGACACAAAGGGACAATGGCCAGCTTATATATAAAAATAGAACTCTGAAGACAATGTGCATCAACCCGTCCAAGAAGCCAACCTACCGTCTACGGTATCCACCAAGTTCAACTGTCAGCAATTGTAAACCGTAGCAACTAGCCCAGGCAGCCAAACACAAACCCCTGTAGCGACCTGCCCCAAATGGCCAGGACTTGATTAATTACTGACAGCTTCCTCAATTTTTGCTGCTACTTCCAACTTAGGGCCAACCAGAGAAAGCCAATTATCTACTCCTAAACAAACACAAAGAATGCTCCCCTTTTGGGTAGCTCAGCTACAGCTTCCCCATATCAACAGCCTCCAATCAGGACATAGCTGAAGGCTTCTCCCACCCTCCTCCATCCTTTGCCTGCTTTTGAGTCTCTGCCAAACTCAAGTAATGGTGGCTGACTGCCTTGCTTTGAATAAACAACTTTTGTTTGTTCTCATTTGGGTGGTCCTCATTTATTTTCACCACTAGGAAAATGGGACTGAATTACTGAAATGGCTCACTGAATTATTCTTTGATGCCAGAAATGTCTGTACTTTAGGGAGGTACAGACAAAAAGAGCAAAGCAATAAGGGGAGAAGTGCAGAGTGGCTGGGGTGAAGGACATAAGCCTTGGATCCAGACTGCCTTGGTCCAGATCTTGGCTTTCCACTTCCAGCTGGTGAACTTGAACAAGTTATTTAACCAATTTGTACCACAGTTTCCTGATCTGTTAAAAAACAAAAACAAAAAAACACTGGAGATGATAATGACTCACAGCGTGATTGGAGGGGTTATATGAGATAAACCGTGTAAAGTATGAATATCTGGATTTCAATGCTATCAACAGAGATGAGATAAAGAGAGAGAGAATGAATAATCTGCCCCACTAATTTATGATACCCACCCCTCAAAATCCCTCAAATGCACACTGGGAATCTGTTTTCCAGAAATCAGAGGACACTCTTCTGAGACTTTTTTTTTTTTTTTTTTTGCTTAAGGGCTATACCTTAAAATTACAGAGCTTAAAATATACAAACATCTTTTGTATAACTAGACGCCCATTGCTACAATTCAAAGACTGTGAGCATACTCTTCATCAGTAACAAAGAAAACTCTCCTCTTAGGTCTTCTGCTATTGCTTTAAGAAAAATCCTATTTCGGACCATTAAAGCTATTTTGACATAATCATGATTCTTTTCAATAAACATTAAAAGTGACATTGTGGAATGTCAAATCTAACCAAAAATACCTACTTAACAAAACAAAGATTTTGTCTGAATTATCTCTGGCTACACTCAACACTTCCAGCCGGCAGTTGCTAAACTTTCCAAAGTGTGCATGAAACACAGTTTTGAAGCCAATGTTTTAGATTAAAATAAAAAGCCGCTCTCTAGCATAAACCTTCATTCCACAAATTGGGTAAATAAACAAGATAGATTTAATTAAGAAAACTAGGAGCCACGTTCACTGCAAATCGTATTTTACTTTAGCATTTCACTTGCAATTAAGTTAGGGGCTTAGGGATGCATTGAAAACACCAAAGGAATAAATATCTGAAAGTTCTAAAAACGTCTCAATACGAAAATCATACTCTGGGGCGATTTTGCAAGGACCAGAAGACATCACACATTGCGAACCCAGTGAGGGAGGCATCTCGGACGAACAGAAGATGCGTTTATGCGGGTTATCCGCCTTTCCCAGGCCTCGGCTCCCTTGACATTGCAGCGATACCCAAAACTCTTCAAAAGAAAAGGGAGGGCCAGCATCTGGGTCTCAGGGAGTCTCTGCGCCCTCCCCGGAAAAGGAGGGGGCCGGCTCCCCGGTGGGAACCTCCCGGAGGCCGCGCCAACCTCGCGAGCGACCCGAGCCTTTCAGGGCGGCACCGAGCCGGCCCCGCGGCGCTGTGGGCTCCCTCGCCGCTCCCGGCCGGCCCCCGCCGACTCACCCAGACCGCGCCAGCCCAGCGCGCCGTCGCAGCTGTCCAGGACCGCACACAGCTCCCCCAGCAGCGCGGGCGGCAGGTCGAACAGCAGCGTGTGCGCCGACAGCGCGCGGCGGGCCCCGCAGTTCCCCGCCATGGCTCGGCGGCCGGAGCCCCGGGGACTAGGTGGAGCACAGGCTCCTGCACGCCCGCGACCGGCGCTTACACAACCGCGGAAATCCTGCTTCCACGACGGCGGCGGAGCCCTTGGAACACGCCGTGCTTCGACCCCGCGCAGGGCGGTGCCGACGTGACGCAAGGCGCGCCTCGCCCGAGATACCCCTGGGGTTGCCCGGCCGGGCCTGGGAGCTCCCCGACCCGAGCTCTCCCTTAGCTGGCTTTGCGCCCCTTCTCGCCTCTGCGGTGGGTACAGGGCTGCAGAGAGCAGCCCAGTGAGGGCTGGAGAAAGCCCAGAGCTCAGAGCTCTAGGGAGCCCACAGGGCCCCATGGGGGCAGTCTCCTCGCGTGGACGGCCAGAGGTGTCATCGCTTCTTTCAAAATTTTATTTTTGAAAGTTTCTCCATGCCTTCTTTCCTTCCTGTATTTTCTTCCTTTTTTCTCTGTTTTGAGTCAGGGTCATGCTCTGTTGCCAGACAGTGGCACAATGATGAGATCTCAGCTCACTGGAGCCTCCACCTCCTGGGCTCAAGCGATCCTCCCACCTCAGCCTCCGGAGTAGCTGGGATCACAGGCGCGGGCCACTACGGCCGAATAATTATTATTTGTCTTTTTTCATAGAGAGGGAGTCTCCATACGTTGCCCAGCATGGTTTCGAACTCCTGGCCTCAAGCTATGCTCCCACCTTGGGCCTCCTAAAGTCCTGCGTTTGGGGGCGTTAGCTACTGAGCCCGGCCTATTTCCTTTTTATTCTGTCAGAAAAGCGATCCATGTTCATCAAGGAACACTTGGAAAACCCGGAAAAAAACTGAAAAAAGAAGATAATCACTCACAACCCCACTCAGCCCATGACACTCTAAAAGTGTGTCACATTTTCCTCCCAACTTTTACTGCATTGAAACAGATCAAAATGTGCATATATGGAATTATTAGAAAAGATGAACGTAGATACCAACAACAGAAAAACAGAAGAGACACCAAATCAGAGTAAAATTATGTTCGTTTTCCTCACGAGGTGGCCCCTCCTCCATACACCTACTTGGTTTTAAGAAATTCTTTTCCTCGTGGGCCTCCCTGATGAAACATTGTTCCATCATTTATCCTTCCTCAAAGTGCTTCACAGAATCTTCCTTCTTACCTTCAACATAGAGTGTAAGTAAAATTGTTTTGAAATTATCTAGGTCAGGTAAGGCATATTCCCTCCCCTCCACTCTTCTTCCCTCCCCTCCCCTCCTTTCCACTCCTCCTTTCCTCACTCTTTCACCCAGGCTGGAGTGCAGTGGTGCAATCTCAGCTCACTATAACCTCCATCTCCCGGGCTCAAGCCATCCTCCCACCTCAGCCTGGGATTACAGGCGCAGGAGACCATGGCCGGCTAACCTTTGTATTTTTCGTGGAGACGGGGTTTTGCGTTGTTGCCCAGTCTAGTCTCAAACCCCTGGGCTCAAGTGATCTGTCCCCTCGGCCTCCCAGCGTGCTGGGATTACAGGCATAAGGCACTGCGCCGGGCCCTCTCTACAGGTCTTAAAGGGACTACTTGAACACACTGAGCAACAGTCAAGAGGCCATTAATTATTTGGTAACTCTTGAATTGCTGCTACAGGGTAGGCAAACTCACATACTCAGAGGAACCAGGAAATACTGCAGACGAGGGAAGCAATCAGAAAGGCCTGCTCTGCTGGGTCTTGTAATTTACCAGGAAGCAAGGGTCCTAGGTGAAAGCTAGGAGTATGTGAAATTCCCTGTGTTTTTCAGTGTTGGCAGTTGTTCTCAGACCATGTTCCTCCCTATTCCTAAAACTGTCTTTGAATTTTGATTTTTATATCATCAGATTATATTGTGATGGTTGCTGTCAACTGCTGATTTCCCACACTCCAATTCCTTCTCATCATTTTTGGACTCTGCTTCCTGGCTCATTGTCACTCTCTCCAGTAGTAATCCTGTCTTAGTTCTCAGTGTTTTAAAATATATGTAGAATAACTATTCACAATAACAAAGACATGGAATCAGGCCAAATGCCCATCAATGATAGACTGAATAAAGAAAACATGGTATATATACACCATGGAATACTATGCAGCCATAAAAAAGAATGAGATCATGTCTTTGCAGAGACATGGATGGAGCTAGAGGCCATTATCCTCAGCAAACTAACACAGGAACAGAAAATCCAACATTGCATGTTCTCGCTTATAAGTGGGAGCTGAACCATGAGAACGCATGGACACATGAGCAGACAACGCACACTGGAGCCTGTCAGGGGAGAGGGTGGGGGGAGAAAATGAATCAGAAAGAATAGCTAATAGATGCTGGGCTTAATACCTAGGTGATGGGATGATCTGTGCAGCAAACCACCATGGCACATGTTTTCCTGTGTAACAAACCTGCACATCATGCACATGTACTCTGGAACTTAAAAGTTGATGAAACAAAATAAAATTAAAAAAATAAATACACATTCACTCTGATGTCATGCTGAGTTTACTTAATAAATAAATAAATACATATACATATACATATATAGAATAGATGGTGATCTTTCCAATGCCCTGGCCTCTCAGTTCCTTGACTCCTCTCCTCCAGTGACATTGTGCTCCACCCAATGCTCCATTTTAGCCACTCACTCCCATGATCATCCCCTAGAATTTGTCATTATCAATAACTGCATCCCGTCTATAATTTCTTTCATGAATCCACTCTCTGACCACATCTCCTGTCCTTGTAGCACGTTCCCTCTAATATTCTGACCCCAGCAATCCTTTCCCTTCTCCAGATATCAATCCAAAATCTTGCTACCTCTTTTCTGGCTCCACCCTCTTGACGTCCTCACTTTTCTGCTTATCCGTTAAGTCCACGGTCAATTATTATACTCACTCCCTTGCATATGCTCTTCATTCCCTTGCTCCTGTCTCACTTTGTTGAGCTCTCTTGGCAAGTCTACAATCGTGACTAAATACAATTTTCTAAGTTGGCTTTCCACCCACGCACCTGAGTATAGTTGGGGGAGGTGGGTGGAAAACCAAAATCCTGTTAATTGAACTCAATTTAAAATCAAGGCCAAGACTCTCAAGAGAGTCCTTTATGCCACTGGACAAACATACTATGCACCTTTAGCCCATACATTCTTCTGGTCTCCTTGAAAGCTATGCTGTACTTTCTTTTAACTCGTCCCATTATCCTATGCTCCACCAATGATCTTGAGAATAGTTATTGAGAATACTGATGCATCAGAAAAAAACTTCCCTAGACTCTCACTACCACATAGAACTATCTACTAGCATCTGTGCCAACATACTCTTTCTTCTTGTTTTCCATGGATAAATTATCTAGGCTCCTATATAAATCATTAGACTTCATTTGTGCACTGGATCCTATCCTATCACCAATTCAAAGACATCAAGGGCACCTGCTTTCCCTGGTCCCTGCTACATGATCAGTTTTTCACTCTTTACCAGCTCAATTCCATCAGCATACAAATATGACGTTTTTTTCAACTTAAAACAAACAAAAAAATTTCTGATGCCACTTCCCCCTTCTGTCTTTGGCCCCAATTCTTTGCTCCCCTTTATGGTGTAGAGTTGAATATTCTCACTGTCTCCAATGTTCTCCTCCTATCTTCTCTTAAACCAATTCTAATTAGAGGCACCCCTCCCACCTTACTCCACTAAAACTACTCTCTTCAGGTTCATACATGTCCACAGCATTGCTAAGTAAAATAAGTAATTTTCAGTCTTCACTTTAGTTCTGACACAGCTGATCACCCGCTCCTTCTTGGAAACTTTCTTCATTTGACTTTAACACCACATTCTCTTATATTTTCACTTACCTCATTGGTCACCCCTCAGCTTCCTTTGCTATTCCTCCTTTCTCCATAAACTCTAAATGTGGGGGTGCTCCAGGGATCAACCCATGATTCTTTTCTATCTACACCCACTACCTTATTGATCTCAATCAGTTTCAAGGCTTTAGGTACCATCTATATACCACAGACTACTAAAGTTATGTTTAGTTCAGACCTCTCTCTTAAATGCTAGAGTCATGTCCAAAACCAAATTCTTGATCATGCCTCTTAAACCTTCTCTCCCTGTATTCCTCCCTGTCCAGGTTAAGAGCAGCTCCACCAGCTGGGCACAGTGGCTCAGGCCTGTAATACCAGCACTTTGGAAGACTGAGGCGGGCAGATCACTTGAGCCCAGGAGCTTAAAACCAGCCTGAGCAACATGGCAAAACCCTGTCTCTACAAAAATATAATAAATTATCAGTAGCTGTGTGTGGTGGCATCCACCTGTAGTCCCAGCTACTTGGCAAGCTGAGGTGAGAGGATCACTTGATTTCAGGAAGCTAAGGTTGCAGTGAGCCATGATTGTGCCACTGGACTCCAGCCAAGGTGACAGAGTGAGACCCTGTCTCAAAACACACACACACACACCACCACCACCACCACCACCACCAAACAAACCTACCTCCCAGCAACTCCACCCTTCCAGTTGCTTGAACTAAGAACTATAGAGTCGAGGGCCAGAAGATCCAAGATGACCAAATAGGAACAGCTCTGGAGTGTAGTTCCCAGCGAGAACAACACAGAGGGTGAGTGATCACTCCATTTCTAAATGAATTTTTGCTGCCCACAGATAAGGAGATTCCCAGGCTGAAAAGCATCATAAGTTTTCAGCACAGCTGTTTCAGCCAGTATAGCAGGTATCCTCACAAAACTCACACAAATCTGGACGGCCATTTCAACTGGTGCCTGGAATGCCTGGGAGACAGAGCCACCCGTTCAACTGAAAAAAAGGGGCTGAAACAGGGAGCCAAGTGATCTGGCTCAGCAGGTTCCTGGCCTACAAAGACCAGCAATCTGAAACCCTCTGGATTGAGAGTCTTGCAGCAAGTGCAGCTGGACCCAGGATGGTCCAGCTCTGTTGGGGGGAAGGGTGTCCACCATGATGGAGGCAGTCCACCACTTTGGAGGCAGTCTGCCATTAGCGAGGCAGTCCACCATTACTGAGGCAGTCTGCCATTACTAAGGCAGACCTCCATTACTGAGGCAGTTTTAACTATAACTCTGTAAACAAAACCACAAAAAAGTTCACACAGTAGTTGGGCACAGCCCACAGAAGCTCAGCAATGCCTCTGCTGGCAGACTGTGACAAGGCTACTTCCTTGCTGGGCAGGGCATCTCTGAAAAAAGGTAGTAGTAAGTCAGGAACTTATAAATAAAGCCCCACCTTCCCAGGACAGAACACCTGGAAAAAAAGGAAGTTATGAGTTCGGCTGCAGCAGACTTAAATGTACCTGCCCAGCAGCTCTGAACGGAACAAAGGAGTTCACAGCTCGGCACTTGAGCTCCTATAAGGGACAGAAGCAGCTCCCCGACCCCCATATATCCAAAGAGA